CTCTCTCTCTCTCTCTCTCTCTCTCTCTCTCTCTCTTTATTTCTTCTCTCTCTCTCTCTTTCTTTCTTTCATGCTTACAATCAGGTAACAGATCCACTGATGAGTACCTCATTTAGATTTTTATGTTTATTCCTAACATATATTTTAATTACTGGGTTGATATCTTACAAAGCAGCCCGAAGTTCTGTTAAGGATCCAGAAATGCAGATTACAGCAGCGCTGGATGAAGGACTAGAATTCTTTTCACTCCTGACTATCCACACTCCTTTCCCCCAGACACACATCTTGCTCCTTGAAGCCCCACCAAACCATCCAAGCCCCTCCCCTTGGGTCTGCATATATTTTTAGCCTGGACATTTTCTGTCTGCATCAACTGAATGATAGCAGTAAACAACAATAGTAAACAATCACAGGATCTTATCGAGTGCTCTGCACAACTCTTAATTACATGCAGATAATCCTTTTTTTGTCTAATTATAATGGTCGGAGCTATGACTGGATCTTCTTTGTGTATAGATCTAGGGAGAATTGCTGCTCATGCACTTGTGTAATTTTGGGTTGATGGTGATAGCCATTGCTTTACTGAAGCTACTCATTGCTTCCACAATGATTGTGTACAAGGTGAGTTTTGGGGTGGGATGGTTAAGCACTAAGAACAAAGAGGCAGTTCTTAAGAATCATATAAATTCCTGATACTATCTGCTGGGATAGGATGTATAGCTCTATCTTCAGAAGTTATCCAGTGGCTTTCTAGTGCATGTCTCCACCACTGATTTTAACCGTTCTATAGTTGGGTCACTCACTAGAGATAAGCTTGAGGGTGGGGAATGTGTCTTGTTCCTCTTCGTAATGGTCATGCTTTTACAGTCTATCATAGTCAGGCCCTCAATCTGTGTTCATTGAGTGAATGACCAAACAGGCAAGGCAATGGACGAATATGTGAGTGAGTGAGTGAGTGAATAGGTGAGTGAATTAATGGATAGGGGTGTGAATGAATGAATAGGTGAGCGAATGAGTGAATGAATAGGTGAATGAACGAATAGGTGAGTGAATGAGTGAATAGGTGAGTGAATGAGTGAACAGAAAGGCATTTCATTTGCTTTCTGAAATGAGCAGAAACTTTGATGTTAAAATTGAATGGAAACGCTGCAGGTCTATATCATTTAAAAATCCATCGGAAGGGTCCTAAATGAAAATTTAACAGACCAAATTCAATAGCACATTCAAAGAATCATCTAGTCTGACCAAAGAGGGCTTCTTCTGGAACTGCCAAGGTAGTTTTCTATTAAGGAAAGTGGCGCTGGCAGTGTGGGAATGTAAAGTGTTACAACCATTTTGGAAAGCAATCTAGCAATGTGCATTAAAGTTAAAAATATATGTATGTCTTTTGAGCCAGTCACTCCACTCCTGGGAATCCATTTCCCAGAAGCAAGAGCGCCAATGTATGAGAATCTTTGTACAAAATGGTCATTGCAGCTGTGCTCCTGGTGGCAAAAAGTGGAAACAAGTGATTGCTCGTTGTCATGCAGTTAACCATGTGATGGTGCACATGCACACATGCTGCGGGATATTCAAGAGAATGACTTAGAGCTAGTTAATATGGTTTCCACAAGGTAACCGTCATGTTCTGAGTGTGTGGAACTCTGTACAAAAAGATGTCCTTTGCCTAAAGAATGAAAACAAACCCCAAAGCAAATACTATAAAAGGAAGGAAATCCTGGGCAGCAGACTTGCTAGCTGAATCACTTTGGAAATATTACTTCTTTTGACTTCAATTTTCCTGATTATAGGATGCCAGTGAAGGTTAAATGAATTAAAACAGGGAACGTGCCAGGGACGTAGAAGCTAACTGGTAGCTGCGAGTTATTATCGCAGTCTATTTTGTTTGTTTGTTTGTAGATCCGAGTAGAAAATGCAAAATTCAAGGAAAACCATGAAAGACGCACACCAGAATGTTAGCCTCCTTATGTTTTGTGGAGACAAGGGGCTGACATGGAATGAAGGGTGAGAAGGCCCACATAAAGATAAAAGCATGCACTTCACGTTTACGAATTGAATTTAAATTATGGCATGTGGGACTATTATAAAGAAACTCAATATTTTTTTTTTTTTTTTTTTTTTTTTTTTGTTTTTTTTTTGTTTTTTCGAGACAGGGTTTCTCTGTGTAGCTTTGCGCCTTTCCTGGAACTCACTTGGTAGCCCAGGCTGGCCTCGAACTCACAAAGATCCGCCTGCCTCTGCCTCCCGAGTGCTGGGATTAAAGGCGTGCGCCACCAACGCCCGGCAAGAAACTCAATATTTTTAAAGGAGCACTTTATTATTAAGTATATGAAATAAGGCACTTAGTAAAGCTCACCTCACTTTAACTATCTGTAAGAAGCTCTCAGCAGGTGCTTACCGATTTTAAACAACGGGTCTGATGGGAAAACACTACCAAGGGGCTGATTGGAACACATTTTCTGAGAATACTAATTCCACACTGGGGGATGGCAGGGAGAAAGTATCCATAGGACAAAAACTTGGTAACATGTTGGTCACAAGTAGCACATGCCTGGATCACAGGACCGTGGACCTGGCAAAGGTGTGTGGTCCTTTCTCACCTTTCGGTTCTGGAAAAATGCTGCTTCCTCTGAGGAGCCTTCTAGACTCATGTTGCTTGAGTATGTCCCCATCCGTCCATCCTCTGCCACATCACTCTCACCGCCAGCTGTCACCACTGACGGAAGCCACCATTGACATCCCCCAGGATGTCGTGATGGCCTACAATTTTCGTCTTTTCATGTGCTGGTGCTGTCTACACTGTAATTTAATGGATTGTTGCCCCTCTGCTAAATTGTTTTAAAGGCATTTAAAAAATTAGTTTTCCTTTAAAAAGAGTCAGTTTCTGTGGCCATTGCAGCAGAGTCATGATTATGGAAATTCTCCCTCACGAGAAACTGTGGATCATGCTGGGCTCTCAGGCCCTTATTTCTCATCTTGGTGGAGGGGATGCGGTGACGTGGCCTCTTGTCCTTTCTGGAAGTGTTGTGAGCATAGCTGATTGCACTTTCATGAAGTCTACATAACTTCCCTAATGGAAAGGGCTTGACATTAGCAAGACAGAGTTAGATGGCTGTCAAACAAAGGTCACTTTCCAGAAAACCCTCAGTGAATTCGAGAGAGCACCCTTGTAACAACTTCCTACCTCTGCACATTAAGATCTGTTAAATCCAGGGCCTCCCCTCCCTAGTGTGTGCGCGCTCGTGCACGTGCGGTGAGCAGTAGCCATTTCCAGAATGGAATTGCTCCCTTTCTTACAATCTTAGAAAATAACCATGTTAAGTTTTTATACTTGAGCATTAGTATAGTGTTTGTGAAATCCGGCCTTCACTTTTGTGTTGTGCTGATGTGATGATAGTCTCCGGCTCTCTGAGTGCTGGCGTCTCCAGCAGCCACTCTTAGATTTAAAAAAAAAAAAAAAGCCTCATTTCTCCCAAACCCATAAGCACAGATGGGCTATTTAACTGTGTTCAAACACTTTCTTCTCCCCCAGGTCCTTGCAAACATGGAAGACATTAAAGTCCGTGAAATACAGATTTTTGACTACAGGAAGAAAATTGCCGAATCAGAGACCAAACTAAAACAGCAACAAAACCTGTATGAAGCTGTGAGATCAGACAGGAACCTGTACAGCAAAAACCTGGTGGAGGCTCAGGTAAACAGTGTGTGTGTCCTCACCTGGTGGAGGCTCAGGTAAACAGTGTGTGTATGTGTCCTCACCTGGTGGAGGCCCAGGTGAACAGTGTGTGTGTGTGTGTGTGTGTGTGTGTGTGTGTGTGTGTGTGTCCTCACCTGGTGGAGGCTCAGGTGAACAGTGTGTGTATGTGTGTGTGTCCTCACCTGGTAGAGGCTCAGGTGAATAGTGCGTGTGTGTGTGTGTGTGTGTGTGTGTGTGTGTGTGTGTGT